CATGCACTCACTCACTCACTCACTCACGCACGCACGATCATGACACCAAAAGGGATACGAAGAAAGAGAAAGAGAAAGAGAAAGAGAAAGAGAAAGAGAAAGAGAAAACGGCTGCCCTGACCTTACCATGCTGGCCACACGGGGGCGCTCCTAAAGCAAGGAACCGGCGCCTACCCGGTCTCCCTGGGAGAAGGCAGGCAAGGAACGGCCGCCCTGCCCTGCGCCGGCCACACGGGGGCGCTCCTAAAGCGAGGGAGGGGTTCCTAGCCGGTCTACGGGGGGGGGGGGGGAGTAGGCAGACAGGCAGTCAGGGGACGGCCCCCCTGCCTGCCTGCCTGCCTGCCTGCCTGTCCGGCGCTCCTAAACCAAGGAACAGGTTCCTGCCCGGTCTACCTGGAAGGCAGGCAGGCAGCGGACGGCCCCTCTGCCTCGCTACTGCTCCTAAACCAAGGGAGGGGTGCCTGCCCGGTCTACCTGGCGGAAGGCAGGCAGACAGGCACGGGGATGCTGCTAAAGCAAGGAACTGCTGGAACTCAAGCTGCCTTTGAACCAGCACAGACGTGACTCCTCGCATGCTCAGAGACTATTTCTTTTTTGTCACCGGAAACTCAAGTTGTAAAGAGTGGAATGGACACCAAGCTGACCCCGCTCGCCCCCCGATGCAGGAGTATCACTATCGGCCACCCCGGTTTAACAATGCCTTCATGTGACACGCAGCACCGGGCTGCTGGAAGCAGTTCTGCAGACCCTTGCGCTCGTGGCCAGGGGGTGTCAGGAAGGAAACTGTGGAGACTGAGGGACACCGAGAGAGGAGCTGAAATGCAGGACCTAAAGGGATGGAAGTAGGAGGAGCAGTGTCGGCAGAAAAGGAGGTTTGGGGCGGGGGTGGTGGTAGAAGAGACAAACTGGTTGGGGAAAACAGGTGCCTTCAGGTGGGGAAATATTTAGGGATGCAGAAAAACCTGGAGGCCGAGCTGCAGAGCGACGAGGAGTTGGGTGAGGAAGGTTTCCTCTTATGTTGGGGGAGGTGTATGGCTCTGGAGGGTGCAGACTCCTCCTTCTCCTTAAAGGTTATGAGCCTTAGGACATCTGTTTCTTGCCAGTTTCAGCTCCTTCTGTGCTCCCTCCCTTGCCCTCGGGGCTGCCAAGAGATTAGCAAATTGATTGATTAGCATCTAACTCATTAATCAATAAACAAACCAACACAATTTAAATGCATTTACATGCTGCAACAGCTCAACTTTATAATGATGCTGCGAGAAAGGAGCGGTTTAGTAACCAACGCTTTCTCTTCTTAAAAAAACTAACAAAAAACTTTCACTTCTTGCTGTTAGAAATAGTGGTCTCTCCTCGCCTCCCACTATTTGAATAGAAGCCCGGTACTTTCCTGCTATTATCTGAACCGAGTCCCTGGAGGAGATAGAGTAGGCTATGGAGGAAAATAGATGGCTAAGCGGAAGAGGCAACGGAGCCTGCTGGCTACTGCAGACCACGGGTGCCAACTTGAATAAATATGGCGGGGGGAAGGCAGGGGCGTGGCCAGGATTTATGTTGGCGGGGGGCTGAATCATCGGCGACGCAGTTGGTCAGTTATTTAAGCATTTTTTATTTTCTTGATTTAGGGGGCAGCTGCCCCCCTGCCCTCCTTTGGCTACTCATGGGGACAGGTAAGTCCCGCCCCGCCTAATAGATCACAAGACATGGCGCGCGCACCATTTGAACAGCAATGAATGACCATCAACTTTTTTGGGCGGGCGCCCCCGCAAATATTTTACTGGGGGGGGGGGGCGAAGGGACCTCGGCCCCAGGAATTGGCTCCTACTCTGCAGACCGCCCCTCCCACCACCATGATGAAAGTGTCCCTGAGCACGTGTAGAGTAAATTTCCATTCCATAAATGAAAGGAGACGCCACTCTGTGGTGATTTGTTAATTCTATTTATTCAATTACTGTACGTGTATACCCCGCTTGATTGTAGAATAGAATAAGCAGCAAGATTATTAGTAAAAACCATTTTTTAAAAACTAAAAGCCAGCGACGAACAAAAAACACCCCAGCAATCTGAATAGTACAGTAGCAGGTGCCGAAAGGAGCGCAGTGAAAGCGCCTGCGGAAAACATTTTGTTTAGACGAGCCTGTCCAGATATTCGATTGCTGGTATGTTTTTTGTTCGCCGCTGGTTTTTAGAGTGCTTGGAGGGAGATCCAGAGGAGATTTATTTCTTACAAATGCGGAGTGAGTATCGCACGGCACCTGTAACAGCGCCGGTTCCGCATGAAGGGAAGGACGGGACTTCCAGATCCGAGGGTTGCATTTTGCTTCCCATACTCACTGGAGCCCCAGAACCGTCTTCTAGAGCGGCTGGGGAGGGGAGAGAGGGCAAGCAGATTAAACCTCGGGTTAATGCCCCCCCACGTCCTTCTTCATCTCATTCCTGACTTCAGCTCAGCTTCCTGCCCACCTGCCCGCTCGCCTCCCCCCTTGTCGGGATTTGTCAAGACACAGCAAAGCGGGGAGACTTCGAAGGGCTGCTGAGAACATTACGGGGCCCCGGAAACCCTCGGCTTCTAATAAAGAAGGTCTTTATTTCTGATGGCTCCTCGGAAAGAGGGAACAGATGGGATCCTGGAATGGGGGGGGGGACATGAGCCCACCACCAACTCCGGGGAATAAAGGGGCGCATTAGACCGACCTGCAGCATCCCTTCGAGAAGGACTTCAAAACGCCTGCAAGTTCATTGCTTCACACTGGGGGCGAAGCAGGCCCAGACAGAGGGAGGGCCATATGGGCCACTTGGCCGGGGCCTCCGATTCCAAAGGCATATTTATCCATATTTTCCATTTTGTCTTTATATGCAGATACGGTTCAAGCCTTGAAATAAAATTAGTTGTCAGCATAACTTTTGTGAAGATTATTTATATACTTATTTATAAGACTTCAGTTATCCCCAGGGTAAAATAAAGGGGGGCGCATTATCTACCTGGCCCGGGCCTCTGCCTGGCTCTGCAAGGCCCTGGGGCGAAGACTCGCATTTGAACCACCACCAGCAGGAATTATGATCTGAAATCCCTCCACAGAAGACAGGGAGGGAGGGAGGTCAGGTGTGTGCCCAGTGTTAACCTTTTCCTTCCAGCCTTAACATCACCATCAGCCTTCGAGGTTAGAGCATCAGGATCGCTCCAGTCAGTCGGATCACTGGGGCTGTTGCGCGTTGCTCGCCACCGACTGCACGGAGGCCTATTCAGTAGAGTCTGATAACATTCGCATAGCCTTCCCCACGTACCACTCCGTACATAGCAACAGGCACATTAGCTGGGGGGTGGAGAGAAGATTGGGGAACTGCCTTTCCCCAGCAGCAACAGAGACCTCTGCCTGAACGCTGAGAAACAACAAACGCAGCATGAAACTAAAGCAATTATTCGAGTCTCTGGATCGTGCGGGAAACACTTATTGCATGAACGAAAAACGTGTTTGGGCTCCTTTAATATCTTTGGAAAGCTGCATTTTAGTGCCCCCCCCCATCTTAATTTCGACGCATTCTGATCTCAGAAAGTCCCTTATTGGGGGATGAGCTTTGAAGCCTTCTTTGAACTGGTCAGCAGAGGGCGATATGGAATTTCGTTGCCATAGATTGTGAGGCGGGGGTGGAGGGGCGGGAAGGGAAGAGTGAAAGGATCACAGGGAATAATTCCGGCTTGCTACTTTACAGCAGATGGCTCTGGAAGCACTTTGCAGCAAGCACTTCATCTTCATTAAAACAAAAGGGGGCAAATTAAAAACGAATCCGCAGAAGTGCATTTGGAGCCCCCGGGAAAACAGTTCCAAGTGCCATCGTGTTCCTAGTCTTCGTAGTCCTCCTCAGCTGAGAGAAACCTCTCTTACTCTGGAGGCAGAGGAAGCAAACGCGCAATTGGTGTAAAAGGAGACAAAACGTATGGGGAAAGCCTCAGCCTCCATCAAAGCCCAGTTTTGCAACATCAGGAGCTTGTAGCCAGGCCTCACCTCTGAAGGTCCGCATCCAACATCTGTGACGAAACATGCCAGATGGGTTTCTCTTATGAAAAGGCGAATGCCAGTCCTGTGTCACAGTGCCGGATGTACATATAAGCTAAACAAGCTATAGCTTAGGGCCCTACTCTCTTGGGGGCCCCAAAAAAATTTAAAGGGGGAAAAACCCCAGATGTACATTTCCAAAATATAAGATAAAAAACAAATAAAACCTACATACAGCAACAGTGTTTTGTGTTGTGTATGGACCTATTAAATTACCATATAGCATATATTCAACACAAAAAACAGTGACAATTTGTTGTTGACAAGGACAGCTGGACATATAAAGGGCCCCATTACCTTCAGTAGCTTAGGGACTCATCAAACCTCAATCCATCCCTGCCTCTGTGCATGTGGGTCTACACATTTCAGAAATGGCATCATCAGCCAGGTGGTTTGGGGACGCCACCTTGTATTTTCTGACGTAGTATCATAGAACTAGTGCTTTTTTTCTGGGTGGACGTAGAGAGATGCATATCCCTAAACATTTTGTGAATCTAAGTTTTGCCTCATTGAGGGGCAGTATTTCAATATGCGTAGGAAAAAGGAGAGTACCGCTAAACATTTTTAAAGAAAAAAGCACTGCATAGAACCATATAATTTTAGAGCTGGAAGGGACCCCAGGGTCATCTACCACCCC